CTACCCGTTTTCTAACTAACTTTCATCGAGCGAGCACGCGCTGAGCAGCCGTCGGCGGGTCGTGGGCAGCCCTGGCATGTTGCTTTTGTTTCCATTGATGGCTTGACTTGGGTGAGGCACTTGCCCGGCCTACGGAGCAAAGTCGAAGCCAAGCCAGCAAAGAGCATCTCTCTCTCTCTCTCTTTCTCTCACTTTCTCTCTCTTTCTGCTTTTCCTTTTCTCCGTCTCGCCTCGCTTTATCAACCTGCCATGGCTGTGGCTATGGATGAAGGTAATGCTGCTGTGCCTGTGGATGAGGCGGCAGATGCGGCGGCGGCCATGCTCCCGTCGTGGGCTGCTCCTGGTGATGAAGACCCGCATGGTTGCGTCGCTGCCTGTCTCTCGGCTCCGTGGACCGCTGTGCCGATTGCTGCGAGGCGCCCAGGTCGTGGTCGCCCAACTGAGGCAGATTTGCTGGACGAGCCGTATCCTGGCCTGTTTGCCCGGCTGGTGCCGGCTACCGCCGAGTCTGAGGCCGTGCTCATCTCGCTCCCGCTGGTGCCGCAGGCGTCGGGCATTGACGCCTCGGAGCTCTGCCTTCCATCGCTGCCGCTGGCCAAGCTTGCTGCTGCCGCGCCCGAGCTCGGCATACTCATCCACGCCCCATCCTGGACTCGTACGCCAGCCTTGGTGCTAAAGGCGCTGGACGGCCCGCTCGACGCGCTGAGCGGCCTGCAAGCACTGATGATTCGCAACGGAGTGCTGAGGCAACTGCCGCTATCGGCACCATTGGCGCATCTAGTCCACCTGGACCTGCGCAACAACGCGCTCAGTGTGCTTCCTCCAGCGCTGGCAGGCTGCGGTGCGCTCGTCACCATCGACGTCAGCTCCAATGCGCTGTCGGACGGCCACGCGCTTGCCGATGCACTCCCGCGCCACAACGGAGCACTCACTGTCGTCATCGCCTCAAGCAATCCGCTGGTCAGTCTTGACGCCGCCGTCATCCTCGATGCACCGACATTGCAGGTCCTTGCGCTGGCTGCCACCGAGCTCCGCGAGTTCCGCACTGACGCCGGAAACACGGATCGGATCCTGGGACCGCACCTCACTGTCCTAGATCTATCATCGAACCAGCTTGCGGCCGATCGTGTGGCTCTTGGCTCGCTGCCATGGCTCTCAGCGCTGTATCTCTCGGACAACTCTCTCGACCCCGCCGCACTTTGCGACGCGCTGAGATCCGACCCAAGCATGCTTTGCGCCGATCGGCTCGAACTCCTCGACCTCACTTTTAACCACAACGCTGAGTCTGTGCCCAAGGTCGAAGACATGCGCGGTCTGTTTCCCGCCCTGCAAGAGCTGCGGACCGATGCGGCAACGGTAGCCATGGTCGCGTCGGATCCGGATGAACCGTGTGCCGCCTGCGGCCACGTCGGCGACAAGAGTCAGATCCTCATTCTCTGCGATGGCTGCGCCGAGGGCTTCCATCCGACCTGTGTTGGCCTACATGCTCCGCCAACCACGTCGGCCTGGTGCTGCCCCGACTGCGAGACCTACCTCGATCCTACCGCCGCTCTCGACCTTGGCGACAACGACGATGACGACTACGATGGCGCAATCCCGATGGTGTAAACAAACCCATCGTGGATTCTCAGAGCCAAGCTCCTCAACCACAATTGCAGTAACTCGCTGCCACTGCCGCTGTCTGCACTCATGCCACAGGCTCGAGCTCTTGTGGAGGAGCACGATCCGTGGATGCCGACCACACCACCACACCACACCACACGCAACCCAATCAATTGACAGACATCCAACCCGTTTTCTTGCTCGTACACCCTTCGACTCGAGCTGACCCGATGATTCGCACGTTGCAGCTAGCAGAGTCCAGGCCATGGATCCCGATGCTAGTCAGTTTGATTGCTATCTCTGCTCTTGCTCGCCGCGGGCGAGCCGATGGTCAACTCGGCCCATTCGTCCGCTGCGGACCAATGGCTCGACCTCTGCCACATTCAACTCGAGAACCATGTCGTCCAGGTTCTTTGGCGGCGGTTCGTCGTCTTCCTCGGAAGAGTACTCCGATGAGGAGCAGCTGAGGCCGCAGGAGAACTGTACGATGAGCTCTACCCCTTTGTGGTCCCCCCCCCCTCCCTCTCCCGCCTCCCCCTCCCCCCCCCTTCGACCCGCTTGTTGATGATGTGTTGATGCCATAGAGTCCGGCTCGGCTGGCAACTACCCATACCACCAACAGACGGTTGGATTCAATTTCCGGGACAGCAAGGAAGTTATGAGCATGGGTGTTGCCTATATTACATGGCTACAACATCTGTAGACTCGTATGTCGCATGCTGTCGCCATACTCCCACCCCGTGGGGGGAGTCTCGGCTGCAGCCGGGGGGAGGACGATGTGCGGCCGTCTCCCATCCCATTTTTTGTGTGAGGCTGGCGACGGCAGCTGTGGTCGCACAGCTGGAGCAAGGCAGGCAGAGGGTGGAAGGGTGAGAGTGCGACCAGAAGCGAGAAAAGGCGATGAAGGCGATAGATGGCAAAGCGATGGATACTCACCATGGAAAGAGTGGGTGAGGGTAGACGTCTCCAAGTTTGACATGTTTGGCGAGTCGTCGTCGGACGATGAGAAGCGCGAGGTCAAGTCGAAGAAGGCCAAGATGTACGAGGCGTTTGGCGATCTGGCCAACAAGCTCAGCAAGGCTGTGGCAGCGAACCAGTGGATTGCTGTGGGAGAGCTGTTTGCCGAGCTGCAGAAGCTTCACAAGAAGAGCAAGAACGACATGAAGAAGTACGGCGTGCCGTCTGCCTTCTACCGGGCGCTGGAGAGCGTGGCCGAGTCCGCCGAGGAGATGTTTGGCGACAAGAAGAAGCGCAAGGCCATGGATGGCAAGGAGGCCAAGGCTCTGTCCAAGGTCCGCCAGCAGGTCCGCAAGGCGACCAAGCAGTACCAGAAGGAGCTCTCGGCATGGCAGGCCAAGCGCGACGCCGGCGAGGTCGACGAGGGGGCGTCGGACGCCGACGCCGCTGACGGGTCGGACCACGCTGGCCCGGCGCAGGCTGGTGGCGACGACGACGACGACGAGTACGAGTACTACTCGGACTCGGAGGATGCCGGGCCGGCGGTGTCTGCCGCGGCGCGGCGCAACCGCTGGATGGCCTCGGACTCGGACTCGGACGACGAGGAGACTGCAGCTGCCAAGGCGGCCGAGGAGAAGGCCAAGGAGGAGCGGCGTGCGGCGCGGCGTGCCAAGCGCGATGCGCGCAAGGCCGAGAGCCAGGCGCGCGATGCGGCCGAGGACGACAAGCCCACGGCGTACGACGTCCGCGATGTGGTGGTCGAGTGCTCGCGGAAGCGCGGGCGCAAGAACCTCGACATTCCGGCGCAGATGGCCAAGCTCGAGGAGGCGCTTCCGCTGGCGATCACGCCGCAGCGCCGGATCGAAGTTCTTGCCCTGCTCTGCTCGTTCCAGCTCGATGTGGCGCCGAACATGTTCTCGGCCATCTCGAACGAGGCGTGGAAGTCGATGCTCGCCCGGAGCGTCGAGATCATGGAACTGCTCGAAGCCAACCCCGAGATTGTTGTCGACCCGGACTACCGTGGCATCTGCCCGCGGACGCCCTCCGAGATGGAGGCGCGCAAGAAGAAGAAGAACGACAAGGGCGAGGAGATCCCGCCGGAGCCGCAGCCCAAGCTGACGGCGCAGGAGACCGAGGATGCCGAGGCCGGGCGTGTCCGTGTCGCCGGCTCGCTCCGCGCCATTGTCGAGCGGCTCGACGACGAGTTCACCAAGTCGCTCCAGTCGCTCTCGCCGCACTCGTCGCGGTACCTGGAGCGCCTCCGCGATGCGGCCGACTTTGAGGCGCTTGCCGAGCGGGTGCACGCCAAGCTCAAGACCGATTCCCGTGTTGCCCGCAACGCCGACGACGCCATCTACTGCGCCTACCGGCGGGTCAACCACATCTACTACAAGCGGCCGGACATGTTCGCCGCCGACGCCATCGACGCCGCCAAGGCCACCATCTACGAGCTCTGCATCGAGATGTTTGCCTCCAACTCGGAGTTTGTGCGCCAGATTGGTATGTGCTACCTCGTCACGCACTACGCCATCTTTGACCAGTACTTCAAGGCCCGCGACCTGCTCCTCATGTCGCACCTCCAGGACATTATCCACCGCTCATCGCCCGAGGTCCAGGTCTTCTTCAACCGCATGATGGTTCAGCTCGGGCTCTGCGCCTTCCGGGCCGGCCTCATCGCCGAGGCCCACCGCTGCCTTATCATCATCTCGTCGTCCAAGCACATCCGCGAGCTCCTTGCCCAGGGCTCGACCGCCATCCGCACCGAGGCCGACCAGCAGCGTGAGAAGGTCCAGCGCCGCCGCATCCTGCCGTTCCATCTCCACATCAACATCGAGCTCATCGAGTGCGTCCACCTTGTGTGCGCCATGGTCCTCGAAATCCCTAACATGGCCCGCTCCACCACCGACTCCCACCGCCGCGTCATCAACAAGGAGTTCCGCCGCAAGCTCACCGAGCGCGGTCCCTTTACCGGCCCGCCCGAGTCGCCGCGCGACCACATCATCGCAGGCGCCCGTGCTCTCGTCAAGTTTGACTGGACCGCCACCCTCTCCCACGTCCTCTCGCAGTCGTGCTGGAACTTGCTCTCCAACCCGCAGGACGTCCGCTCTATGGTCGAGACCAAGATCAAGGAGGCTGCCCTCCGCACCTACCTCTTCAAGAACGGTGGCTACTACGCCTCGTTCTCGGTCGCCACCCTCTGCACCAAGTTCGGCCTGCCCGAGAAGGCCGTCCACGCCCTCGTCTCCAAGATGATGATCTCCGAGGAGATTCACGCCTCGTGGGACCAGCCCACGGCCTCCATCGTCATGCACAAGGACGACATGTCGCGCGTCCAGATGCTCGCCCTCCAGCTTTCCGAGAAGGCCTCCCTTATGGTCGAGAACAACGAGAAGCTCCTCGACGACCACAACATCTCCTTCGACCGCTTTGGCAACGGCGGCCGCTCCGGTGGCCGCCGCAAGCGTCGTGGCGGCTACCGCGGCGGCGGTGGTGGTGGTGGTGGTCGCTCCGGTGGCAACCACAACTCTGGCGGCGGCGGCGGTGGCCGCGGCGGCAAGGGTGGCCGTGGCGGCAAGGGCGGTCGCGGTCGCGGCGGCCGCAGAGGTGGCAAGGGCGGACGTCGTCGTTAAAACCACAAACAAGCCAGCGTTCCTCAACACTCCTTCCACTGTCCATGCATCATGTCATCGTCGACTGGGATGCTACACCACACTGTGCCGGCAAGCGGTGACAGAACACCATTGAGAATGGTGTTAATGAATGGTGACCATTCATTTCATTCTGCACTCGTCTCCCAACGACCAAATTTCTCACGGGATGGCGGCGGCGACCGAAGGTAAGTGGCATGTTCTGTTTCAGCTCCCCGCTTTGGCCCCGGCCCCCCTCCCCCTCCCCCCCTTCCCCCCTTGTCCATGGGCATGTAATTGAGAGCCACCCAGGACCACCCATGGTCGATCGTGGAGCAGACACACACAAGGAATATAGTTCATGTGTTGCTCTACCTGCTCTGTAGCCATCTTCTTCAGCACATGCCTTCTACAGCCACCCTCCGCCCCCAGTGAGTGTGGCGGCCAGGTTGGGCGACCGGTGACCTGTGCGCGCGAGGCGACCGGGTCGCCCTCGAACCCCTGCGCAGGCACGAGGTGAGATGGGGCGCTAGCTGTGCCATAATCATGCCACACTCACTCTACACGTATCTACCTGGTATTGCCAGCCGACGAGCATGCCTTTCAGCTCGACCGCTTTCTCAGATACACCTTTCGCCTCCCATTGGCGACGGCGCCCGACAGGCTCAGCCTCGCCAACTTGAGCGCCCACCTCGGCGCTCGCCTTGCGGCAGCAGACTCGGCCGACGAGGACGATTTGGACGACGTGTTCGAGTACGCACGCATGGGCATGCCGGATCCGGGGGCGTCGGCTCCGTCATCGTCATCCACGTCGAGTTCAAAGCCGAACGCATCGCAAAGTGATGCCGCCGCCGCGCTGGCTGCCGCCGCCGCAGCTACCGAATCCCACGCTCATACCCTCGGTGGCCTGCACGTCCCAGGGCTCGACCTTCAGACGCTCGCTCGTGACGGTGCCGTCTTGGTTGACCGCATCTGCCCGCGTCGTGATGAGGCACGTGGTAAGCTCGGCGGCAGTATCGCCGGGCTGATGGTTACGCTAGGCGACACGTCGTGCAAGCTCGAGGAGGTGCTGGGTGGCTTCCGCATCGAGTCGGCCATCAACTTTGCATCTGTGGTCGGGACCACGGCGGTCTTTGCCTCCAAGTGGATGTACGAGGTGGTGCTCGAGACCGAGGGCGTGATGCAGATCGGGTGGGCAACCATGGGCTGCAAGTTTACCACCGAAGAGGGCGTCGGTGACTCGCCAGACTCGTACGCCTACGACGGCTCGCGGGTCCGCAAGTGGAACTGTGCCTCATACGAGTACGGCGAGCGGTGGAAGGCCGGAGATGTCATCGGCGTCGCCATCGACCTCGACGACGGCACCATCTCGTTCTACCGCAACGGCCTCGACCTGGGTGTCGCCTTTACTGACGTCGCTTTTGCCGCTCCGGGCATGGCCTACTTTCCGTCTGTCTCACTCTCACGCCACGAGCGGGTGTGGGTCAACTTGGGCGCCTCGCCGTTCCGGTTTGCCGTGCCAGGCTACGCCCCGCTCTCGCAGCCTCCGCCGCCGCTTGCGACAGCGCAGAGCGCGTATCTGTGCGGCGCACTCAAGCGGGCCGTCCCTTACTTTGCGTCGGGCAACCTCGCATCGCCACTCTCGGCCGCAAGCGCGGACAACAGCGCCACTTTTGCCGCCATCGAACAGATGGTGGTCGGGACGCGGATCTTCCAGTCACTTGTCCCGCTTCTGGCCTCACCTTATCTAGTCGGCTCTCACTTTCTCCCGCTTCTTCTTTACCTCAACTCGCGGCCAGAGCGCAATCTGATTGCGTCGCTGGTAGCCTGTATGGAGCGGGTGTGTGAGAGCCACGAGCTCACTGCCATTGCCGGGCGGGTCATGGAGCGACTTGGCCATCTAGCGGCATCGACTGCGATCTCGCCGCGGTGCTCCAGTGGACCGCTGGTGATTGTCCGACTGGCAAACGCACTGGTGGCCCAGCCGGCCTGGCGGCGCAGCTGGCTGCAAACACAGTCATTTTCGAACTCTCTCGAGTTTCTTTTTGCTCTCAAGCATCCATCCGAGGAAGAGCTCGCGGTTCTTCTTCCGCACGTGTGGTGGGAGCGGGCGGGAAGTCACCTCAGCAATGCCGGCTTTGACGCCTCTGCGGTCTTCTCGGCCGAGAAGCACGCATCGGCTGTTGCCGAGCTCGGCGGTGCACTGGGCTCCATCGAGCGTGCACAGCATGCGCTGCTCAGTCTTCTTCTCGAGGTCGAGCCCGAGGCGACAACGTCCTGGCTCGCCGAGCTCGTCTACCGCAACCGCGGCGTGTCGCGCAACCTCAAGCCGATGGGCCTCTCGATGCGCTCGGCGCTTATCAACATCTTCTTTGCGCTGGCAGACATTGTGTTTCCGGACGGGCCGCAGTCGGCGGCTGCTGCTGCAGCCAGCTTTCCGCTGCACTACTTTGTGCGCGACGACGCAAACGACGCGCATGGCATGATTGTGCCCGACGTCGACCGTGTGTCAGGCATGATCTCACATCTCCGCAAAGCCGTGCCTGCTCCTGACGACGAGTGCGACGCTGATGTCGCAGCCTCGTTGGGGATCCGGTCTGCGCTCCTGCTCGACGCCCTCGTCCTGCTCTACGTCGACGGGTTGGCACTGCAGGCCAAGGCCTCGCTTATCGAGACCCAAGAGCTCCGGCAGGCGCTGCTAGACCTGGACGACAAGCTCGCGCTGCGGCTGGCGCGGTCACTTGGCGCGTCACCGAGCAGACTTTTCCACGCCATTGAGGCTGCAGCACGCAAGGTCTCATGGTCGTCTCTGGTCGTCCACACCAAGGCCAAGTCGGTCGCCATCTTTGCGTTTCACCACTTTCTGGCCTCGCTCCTCGAGCGAGCGTCGCCGGCGGCGATAGCGGTCGCGCACAACGCCGCGGCAGCCAAGGACGATGAGCCCGGCTCGGGATGGCCGCCGCCGTCGTGGGAGCTCGCCTACCTGCCGGCGCTCTACCTTGATGCTGCAGTCGATGCGTTTCACCTCCTCCGCCGTGCCATCGAGCCGTATCCGCTGGTCGAGACTGGTCACCAGTGTCTGGTGTTTCTGCAGTGGACGGTGGCGCACTTTTCGGACCGCCGGATTCACAACCCAGACCTTCGCGACCTGCTGCTGCAGTCGCTCTCGCTCCTCCTGCAGTACGAGGAGTTTGTCGAGTTGCTGGAGAGCGACCTGTTCACAGCATCGTATCTTGTGCCGCGGCTACTCGCGGCGTACGATGACCGGTTCTGGGTCACGGTGACCATCACCACCATGCTTCTGCGCATCTTCAAGGGCACCGGATTTGGTTCGCGTGCGCTTCGCAAGCGCGGCAAGCGGAGCACGCCGCGGTACCGGCTGCCAGATCCTCAGGCCAACGTGGCATCGCCGCTGTTCCAGGCTGCATTTGTGGCGTCATACCTCAATGCACCAGACCTGTTGTCGCTCTTTGTCAACACGGCGTTTAACTCGCTCAACTGGTCGCTCACCGAGCTCTCTGTCGCGCTAGACCAACACCTGGCGCTGCGCGCGGCGGGCGAGCTGCACTCGTCGACCCGCAAGCTCGGGGTCATGTTTGCACTTGCAGTCAACTTGCTCCGAGTCCTCGAGTTTACAGCATCGTACCTGCCGCAGCTGTTTGCGGAGGAGGCATGCGGCGAAGTCGCGCCGCCGGCGGGCCTCGCGCCGCCCGAAGTCAACATGATGCGGATGATCGAAGTCGTGGCCGTGGTTCTCGCCCAGTACACAACTGGGCCAGACGCGCGGCTGTTCGCCGACGTGCAGATGCAACTTGAACGGCCGGGCGCCGAGCCGATCATGCCGCAGACGGACATGCTCAAGGCGGTGGCGGGCATCCTCGTTGCGCTCGACCGCCCGATGGTGGCGGCTGGCAACACGCGCGGCGTTGTGGACGCACTTTTGCTCTCGGCCTCGTTTGAGGTCGGCTCGCTCGAGTTTGTGACCGACGCGCTTGCAGCTGCGCCGGATGTCGATGCACTGGCCGATCTTACCTCACGGGTGACGGCGGCGGCTGGGTCGCGGAGCCAGCTCCTGGCCGGAGCGTCTGTCTCGCGGTCGCCGTCAGGCGACGTGTGCACCATCTGCTACGCCTCGCTCATCAACGCCACGTTTGAACCGTGCAAGCACCGGGCGTGCTACGGATGCATGACGCGGCAGCTCCTCAACGTTCACCGGTGCTTCTTCTGCAATGCAGACGTGGCCACCGTCGTTCGCGACGGCAGCGCGTCGACGCCGCAGGACACCGAGGTAGTGGTCCTCGCGCACTCGGCGTCCAGCGAGATTCTCTGACGCGCCAAAATGAACAACTCAGCTCATCTTGGCTTTGATCGTAGCCAGCGCGTCGAGGCGCTCACAGAGCGAAGGATGTGAGTAGTGGTAGAGTGAGAAAAGCTTGTCGGCATGGATGTTGACCATGTTGACGAGATGAAGCTTGATGAGCGGCAGCTCGAGGTCGTAGCCGAGCTTGGCGGCGTAGCGATCGGCAGCAAACTCAAACGACCGCGTCGCCACGTGCTGCAGCGTCTGCAGCATTGAAGCAATCGGGGTGTACATGTACGAGAAGAGGACGAGGCCGATGGCCGGGTTGGTGGTCGAAAAGCCAAAGGCCTGGTAGTAGCCGGTGTTCTCGACCAGGGCGGCAAAGGAGCCAAAGAACACGCCGATGGTGGCAAACTCGAGCACAACCTGCTTCCAAAAGTGGTTGGCCTTGACATGGGCAATCTCGTGGGCAATAATGGCCAGAACGTCCTGCTCGGACATGCGCTTGAGGAGCGTGTCGTAGAGCACGATCGAGCGCGAGGTGCCGACGCCCATGAAAAACGCGTTCGAATGGGTGCCGCCGACCTCGTCCTTCGACTTGCGGATGTAGATTTCCGAGACTGGGCAGTGCGACCGCTCGGTGAGGAGCTCGAGCTCGGTGCGGAGCGAGCCTGGTGGAAGCGACTCGTAGGTGTCGAAAAACGGAGCCACGACCGTCGAGTAGAGGTCCGAGATGGTGACCGAGAGTAGGGCGAGGAAGAACCAATTGAGCAGCCAGTAGCCTGATCCGTGGTACTCGAGAATCCATAGAAGGGTGTAGATGATGGGTACGCCTGCGCCGACAGAGAGAACAAAAACCATGCCTTGCGCAACAGCCCACGCACACAGGGCTCGCAGCCCACTCCGAGCGCCATCGGCCTGCCTGCTCCCGATCACGGAGAAGACCTGGAACGGGAGCTTGACGACGGCCGAGACGAGTGAGACGATCAAAATAAAGATGACTCCCCGGGTCTTGGAGTGGCGAGCACCGTCGACAGCTGCGGCATCTGCGCCGAAAGCCAAGAGGCCGGCCAGATGGACGGCGAGTGCGAGGTCCCAGAGGTAGACCAAAGCGCCCGAGGCGATGACAGCGACCTCGAGGGCAAAGCCGACGGTGGCCTCGACTCTATTGAACGAGACCTGCGACATCGAGTGAGCCTGTAGGCGCGAGTAGCCTCAGGCGTCAGGCGATGGGCAAGAGCCCGTGGAACCGTCTTCTCCTGCAGTGCTTGTGACTGTCGGCGGTCGAGGACAAACTCCACCACGTACACCACCAGCGAAGAGGCAATGGTGAAGATGACCCACGACATGACGCGGCGGCCGGAGTGTGAGTAGGGGGGGGGGGGGGGAGGGGGAGAGAGGGGAGGGACTCAATA